CCAAATACTCTTGTCGAGAGATTTCATGACACCTGCTGCCAGGCCAATCCGTCTACTGACTTCCTGGTCTGACAGCCCAGAGTCATGAACTGCACTACTGAGGTATATAAAACTCCTTGTGACTTCCATGTTTTCACCGCAAGCATGTACCGACTACACAGGGTCTCCTAGTAGGCCCCCAAAATCCTGGATCTTGGTCTTGGTCCAGGAGACCTCTAGCCCCAGGGGCTTCGCTTCATTGCTAAATGCATCAAGAGACGCCACTAGGGTTTCCAGAGATTCAGAAAGAATGGCAACATCATCAGCAAAGTCAAGGTCTGTAACCTTGATATTAACCAGAGTTGCTCCACAGTGACTTTGGACAGTAGCTCTACCCAGTATCCAATCCATGCAAGTGTTGAAAAGTGTTGGTGTAAGAACACAGCCTTGCCTCACGCCTGAACTAACAGGAAAGAAGCTCGACAGGCTCCCACCACACTTTACAGCACTTTCAGTGCCTGTATACAGGTTTGCTATTAGCCCAACAATCCTTGTTGGAATTCCTCTCAGTCTCAGGATCTCCCAGAGTGATTCGCGATGCACCGTATCATACGCCTTCTTGAGGTCGATGTAGGCTGTGAGCAGCCCATGTCCGAACTCACGACGGCGCTCTACAATGACTCGAAGCGCCAGGATACGGTCTATTGTGGACTTACCAGGAGTGAACCCAGATTGCTCCGGTCTTTGGTGCCTCAGGTGGTCTCTGATACGTCTCAGTAAGATGTGGGCGAGTACCTTGCCCAGTACACTGAGCAGTGTAATGCCTTGGTGGTTGCTGCAGTCCCACCGATCCCCTTTCCCCTTCTAGAGAGGGATGACCACACCCCTCAGCAGGTCAGGGGGAATGGTACCGGTCTGCCAGATGGCAGACAGGACTGCATGCAAGCCCCTTGCCATAGGTTCTCCACCAGCCTTTAACAATTCAGCTGGGATGCCGCAGACACCTGCTGCTTTACCACTCTTCAGCTTGGAGATCGCCCCCTTGACTTCAGTCAGGGAGGGTGGATCCTCGCTGATGGGTGGGTCTGGCAGAGGAGTCTCAACATTACCAGCATCCAAGTCAACTGTTGGTGGATCAACCTGATACAACTGCTCAAAATACTCAGCCCAACATACACACACCCCATCAGGATCTGAGATTACCTGGCCACTTGCTGAGCGGACTGCCGTCGTCTGTGAGGAGGGCTTAAAGTTCAGCTTTCTCAGAGCTTGGTAGGCAGGACGAAGGTCATTTACTAGGAAATTACTTTCGACCTCCTCTGTAAGGTTACTGATAAACTGTTCCTTACCCCTTCTCAACAGTGACCTAGTCCTGCGCGCCAGAGAACGGTGCAAATTGTGATCCCCTGACAATCGAGCCGTACGACAAGCTTCTGTGGCTTCCAGTTTCTCCTGCGAGATGGTATTCTGTCTTGCTCTTGGGCGTACACCAATGGATTCCTGAGCTGTATCAAGCGTTTCACGCTTGAAGGAATCCCACATAACAACAGGGTCTGTCAGGCCCTCGAGTACTGTGAGCCGACCAGCGATAGCCTCAGCAAACCCCTGGGCACACTCATCCTCCCTCAGTCTGTCCAGATGAAACACCCTGGGGTGTTCATTTGGTCGACGGGGGGTTCTAAAGTGGACCCGGAGAGTAGCCACAACTAGTCTATGATCAGTTCCACAGAACTCGGCGCTTCGATACACCCTGCAGTTCTGGAGGATCCTCCACCGAGTGCTGACGAGGATGTGGTCGATCTCCTTGGCCACCCTACCCATATCGCTGTACCAAGTCCAGCGATGCGGGTCAGAATACTGATACCAGGAGCCAGAGATCTTCAATTTCTGGGACCTAGCAAAGTCACGGAAAAGGAGGCTATTCTTGCTGCCATCATCGGCTCCTAAGCCATGGGGACCGACAGACATCTCGTAGCCAGCTCGATCACATCCGGATACCGCATTGGAGTCGCCCAAAACAATACGAATATCTCGCCGAGGACAACTGTCTGCCACAGATGCAGGTTTGGCGTAGAACATCTCTTTCACCTCAAGTTTATATACATCCGTAGGAGCGTACACAGCAATAAGAGACATGAAGCCAAATAACAGCTTCAGTCTCAATACCATTATACGCTCATCCACACTAATCGTGCCACTGCCAGGTCTTCTCACCTCCGAGAGAGCAACCACCTCAACTCTCAGCCACTTCAATTCCCTCAACAGTAGTGGTAACCGATCATCCTGTCGCAGGGAACGGACGTTCCAAGCCCCCACCCTGACAGCCCGCCTGAGGTCTAACCTCTGGCAGTCACTCCGGGTGGGCGCCACCTCTGCCACCCCCACCGACGCCGCCCCATACAGAGGTTGGCTGGCTGCAGGTCTCCTAATCCACCTGCAGGGCTCCCGGGGGCTTTCCCCCACGAGCATCACGCCAGGCTGGCGGCCGCTGGGACCCAGAGGGGATGATGGGTAACCCCCC